CATTCAACTTTCAATCGGCATTCTTACGGCCAGGTCCGGATCTTGTGTAAAATCGTTGTAGCCTCACGAGCTAGGAGTATCGATATTTGTCAGTATACATCGTAAGAAGGACATAAAAGGGGCAGCATGGCCTTTCAGCAGGTTCCCAAAAACCATTAGAAATCTCTTCAACAGTCTTCAGCTATATATACATATTCATCCTCGATTAACCATGTCTAGCAAACCAATTGTTCTGGTGACTGGTGCGAATGGCTATATTGCCGGGCCCGTCATTGAGGCTTTTTTAACGGCTGGCTATGCTGTCCGTGGAACTGTTCGCTCAAAGTCTTCGGCAGACCCCCTGGTCAGGGCTCTGTCTGCATATAAAGAAGATCTTGAAATTGTCGAAGTCCCAGACATTGTCGCATCAGGAGCCTTCGATTCTGCGGTCAAGGGTAAGCGTCTCTTCTATCTGCGATGAATTGGATCTCACAATACCAGGTGTTCATGCTATCGCACATCTTGCTGCTGGGGTGAGTCTCAGCTTTACAGACCCCGAACCCGTCCTTGAAGTCGCTATTCAGGGAACACTGGGTGTTCTCGAGTCTGCCATCACCGAGTCATCAGTTAAATCGGTTGTACTTATGTCCTCTATTGCCTCTATCATCAACGGCAGCAAAGAAGCGCCTGCTAGATTTACAGAAGCAGATTGGAATGATGAAGCTTTGGCAGCTGTCAAGAAACTCGGAAAAGAGTCACCCAGCTTTTTGATCTATGCTGCGAGCAAGGTGGCAAGTGAGAGAGCCTTTTGGAAGTTCCGCGACGAAAGAAGCCCCTCTTTCACCATGACTGCTCTCAATCCAGTGTAAGCTATCCCTGGAGACACTGCCTATTTACCAAACAAATCTAACAATGTCGCCGAAGTTTTGTTATGGGACCGCAACCAGGCCTTGAGTCCATCTCAAAGATTGGTGGAACAACTGCCTTTATCTGGCAGATACTTTCGGGACAAGAGATTCCTAAGCCACTGACACCAAATCCTGGCTATGTTGATGTTCGTGATATCGCACGAGTTGCTGTCTTCAGCGTCGACCACCCCGACAAGGCAAACGGGGAGCGTTTCCTGTTGGCTTCGGGACTTGTTCCTCCGCAGGCGGCTGCCGACGTTCTTCGTAAAGCATATCCTGAGAGACAAGACATTATCAAGGTTGGAACTCCTGGGCAGGGATACTTTCCTGACTATAAGTTTCCCGAGGAAAGAGTTCTTGATGCTTCGAAGGCAGTCAAAGCGACAGGACAAAACTTTTACCCTGTCGAGCAGACAATTACTGACACGGCCAAGTCTCTCGAGAAGTTCTTATAGGATTTACATATCAATATGTCCGTTAGGGAATAGAGAGAATAAAAATTAGTATTCTCTAGCAGTTGTTTACCATTCCCCGCCACACATCCGGTGACTGCAGCAAGAAGACGTTTTCACTTCATTACTTCCACATTAGACTTGTCCAGAAAGTCAAAAAGATAAACCTGCGTATCGCAGATGGCTGGATCTCTCCCGCCGGGAATTGAACCCGGGTCTCAAGCGTGACAAGCTTGCATACTGACCACTATACTACGGAAGAATTCCGGGCGTTGTCGCCCAGTGTAGAGAGGGGGGGTTGTGATTGGTAGCGAACAATGGCTGTATATGTAGTCTGAGGCTTTGAATGTGGTTGCTAGTGAAATTGGAGGCGGCCTTATTCCGCGGCAACTCAAGAGCGTTATGCACTGAACTCAATTGGCAATGATCAGTAGGCACCTTGGTTGGCCCGCCTAAGACTAAGGTCCTGGGTGATTCTGATACTTCATATGGCCACGCTTGAGATGCTATGGATAATGGCAGGATGAGATAATGAGGTCTAGTGCTAATTGGCACTAAGGAAGATTCCCAAATGGCCCAATCTAGAGTCCTACCTGACGGCTTCCCAAGGTTTCACAGTAGTAATCAGGCTATCAAACCAGTGCTTAATCCATTTCCCCTGACTTGTGCCTTCCGAGCTGCGGTGTTTGGCGTTGATAAAGATTTTATTGAACAGAAACTATGATTGCTATTCTCATAGCAAGATCCCCTTAGAATGGATTTGATATAAGATTCTAGAATTGACACTTCGGTGAGTATGTCTTGGCTGACAGGTGTCTGTGTGCTTTCACATCAGCGTGGTGTTCTCCTCTCCGCTGGTAGCAGTCAATGAAACTACTGACAGCTTTAATTTTCAGCGAACATAACCGTTCTGATTTCCTGGGGGTTTTCTTCTACTTTGCTACAGCTGCTTTTGCATTTTTGACAAAGTTCAGTGAATGTCTTCATACCATATATTTGTTCAAGGTATTGCTCCTGAACATTCACTTGTTCTGTCATAGAACATGCACCGGTCGAAATACAACAAAAGACTTGGAGAACAACAACGTCTTACTTGTTTGCTTGCCTGCATTGTTCACATCAGTGCTACCATTGCAGATATCTTGTTCTAATGCGCTATTAACAAAGGAGCTTCAGAACACCACCCAAACATGTTTAGGACTTACAAGTATATATATATCGAGTGCCTCAGCATAGCCAGAAACCCAACATCCCCAATCACATTTTACACATCAACACACAAGCAACAGTTCCAAAAGCTAAACTATCAACTAATTATTAAAATAACAAATCACTACCACATCAACAATATGTGTTACCGAAGCATCACTCACACTATGCGTTGCGATGCGCGGCCTGTCATTTCCGATGGTACCAAGGTCTACACCGACCCGTTCGCCTATCCCCTCCCATGCAGCTGCGGCCCTGAGCACTTCGTCCCCAGTTACCTTCGATGCGAGGATCATGGTTGCTGTATGAAGAAGGTCAGCATGGATTGGTGCCCTCATGTTTCTGATTGCAACGAGGTCTACGAGGTTCATCGCTATGTCCAGTCTCATCGTCGACCACGAAATATCTGGGGTCCCATCAACATGCTCGGCGACAGCTTCAATTCTCTCTGGAGTCTTCCCATGATTCAAGAGAAGCAAAACACTTGGGATCATGTTCCGGATTTGGAGAACTGTCTCTTCACTGGAAAGATGCCACACTTGACGGCTGTCCCACCTCCTTTTTGCAAGGCTGTTGAGAACCTTACCAACACTGGCCGTCTCATTGTCCAGACACAAGATCAGTTGGGTGCTCTTCGCAACGAAGCTGCTGTTCGCCGAACCATGCACGATGCTTTCCATGGAGAGGCTTGCTCGCGTGTGCTTAATGAGTGGGAGTGCCCTCTCCAAGGACCTATCGCAACTGCAGAACTGCTTGACAAGCAAATGGTTAAGAACCTCGTGAAGCAGCAGGAGATCTTCAACACATGCTGGACCTTCATTCAGAGCATGATGTGGTCTCGTCAAGTGGGCAAAGACCTTATGATCCAGAATGTACCAGTCGTTTGGGATGAGTAGAAATTAGGGCGTCTGGTGGTTGAACTTAGCATGCATTTTTTTAGTTGGGCGTTTGGGATAGGGAAAGTTTACTTTTAAGGATAGAGGTAATATAGAAAATAAGCAACTTGGATTTCGTTTTTATAAGCAATTTCGGATCACCTTGATCGAAGTAAATATCACAAATCGTGAAGCCTTTGGTGCTTGAGTGAAGCTGTGGGTGTATAGATATCTGTAAGTGGTTTCATGCTTAATCAGCAACAAAGGCCGTCATCGTATAGGGGTCAGTACATCAGTTTGTGGCTCTTGGAAGCACTGAAAACGCAAGTTCGAGTCTTGCTGACGGCAATCTTATATTTTTGGAGATGTATCACATCCGACGTTTCTGTAGCTCAAGATGTGATGTTGTTATATTTTCTGGAGTCTTTTGGCATCGGTAATATAAGGTTGTACTGAAAGAAACCATAAGCTAAGCTCCTTTTAGTTTTCTTTAGTTCTTCACTCTTTGAGAGTGATGCATCTTTATAAGAGGATTTCTTAAGTATGTGTATGCTCTTTTGTGTAGCACTCTTGCAGCGACGTGCTGTCTATCCTGTATTGATTCTATGAGTTGAATTTGGTTGTCTCAGACTTCTGCAAAAACCTACAAGATCAAGACTTCTCAGCAGATTGCAATTGACTTTGCTAACGACAAAGACAGAAGACCAACAATAAACAAGAGGGGTGGGTGTCATCAACGTCGAGACAAAGGCTACAAGTAAACATTTACCAATTAACAACACACATTGTTCATCAGGTATCCTTTGTGATGGAGGGGTTTGGAGGGGTAATTCAACCGGTGTGCCATTGCTGCAAAACTCCTAAAATTACCACCAAAAAAGACATTGTTCCGTGAAAGCAGCAAAAGATAATTACTTTGCCGTCAGCAAGACTCGAACTTGCGTTTTCAGTGCTTCATTGGTAACCACAAACTGATGTACTGACCCCTATACGATGACGGCTTTTTAGTGCTTGACATGGGTCCAAAAACTGCAGTCTATGTAGGTCGTCATTCACCCTGCTCCGTTATCGGCACAACTTGAGAAAAGCTTCAGAGCTTCTCACACACAACGCACAACTCATTTACAATTACGGAGGCGTTCCCGAAGCGAAAGAGGAAATTACATTATTGTATCGTCTCCTGGTTAAAGAGATTCAATAGTCACCAAGTTTAACACTGACTTTATTTATCTCTGGAAGGTCCTGCATTGGACATTTAGTCAGCTCACGGAGAAAAGGAAGCAATAACGGCCTTGAGCCAATTTACTCGACCTGCACAGCATCACACGCACACTCTCTCCCTCTCCCTCTCAACAATTGAGGTTTTAACATTTGTTCTTTATTTACTCAGTATCTTGTCGGATGCTGCTTTGACAACGAAAAGAAAGACCTAAAAGGTAGCAGCCATGGTATCCTTCAGCTCCTATCCATAAAATAATCCAATCCCATTCAGAATGCCCCACGCCAGATAACGCCTTGGATGTTGTCGAATTCTATCCGCACAACCGTTCTCATTTCTCATTTGTCGAGTCATTTGTTTATTTGGTGATCCAGCCAAGGTAATCAGCAACGATCAATGTCACCATACTGCAAGTCAAGTCAGCGAATTGTTCAACAATTCCAGGTATCAGAAGGACTTACGCGTGAGGAGCGATGCGGACGTAGTATGTACCGAAACCACGGTAGAAGCGGCCGAGACCCTCTTGCTTAGCAACCTTGGAGAAGCAGTCCATCATGCTGCGGTATGGCAGCTTGCCGTCAGGTCCCTTGGATTGCTTCTGGAGGCGTGTCTTGACAAAGTCGAAGGGTAACGAGAAGAAGGAGGCGAAGAAACCAGCAATTGCGCTGGCAGTGAGAGTCTGGGTGCGGGCGGAGAGATCGGTGTTGTTCTTGAGCTGGACCTTGGCCTCACTGAAGAAAGCGAGCTGACCAAAGTTGAGAGCCATGGCTCGTGCGACTGTGGGAGCAGCACCGGCCCAGAGAGCACCGACACCTTCGCTCTTAGCGATGCTGGTGAGAGCATCAATGACAGACTTATAGTTCTTTCGCTCAGCAAGGGGCTTAAGGCCATCACTTTGCATTCGGATGAGGGCGAGATCAGCAGGGTTACCAATCATAGCAGCGATACCACCGGCAGTGAGACCAGCAGTTGCTCGTTCTGAGAAACCGACTGAGCGACCATCCGCTTTGGCTCGGGCGGACAAGTTCCCCATGAGCGTGTCGAACATGCCCAAGCGGGCCGTGGTGTAGACGGCCTGGCGCAAAAGACCAGCTGAGAGACCAGTGTACAGGTCAAGAACCTTTCCACTAGCAATGATCTGTCGAGTGACGGAGAGGGGAGAAGGCTTAGGGCCAGAAGCAGTTCCCTCGCCAGCGAGTTGAATGCGGACCTTGACCATGTCGACAGGTTGGATGACGGTCGTGGCCACCATACCGCTGATACCACCGTTGATGAAGGGAAGGGCGGCCCTCATGAGAGGAGTGTGAAGGATGTCGTTAGCAATAGCGGCCGAGTCACCTCGAGCAGCTCCCAAAACATCGCTGGTCTTTGAGCGAGCTGATTCAGCTGCCTGCTTGAGTGATTGGCTCATTATGAATGGGTAAGGTGGGTTCGGTTCGAGGAGAGATCGATCTAAGTCAAGACGAGTTCGATTCGAGTGAGTCGTCGTCGTCTGAGGGGATGTATAGGATGGGCTGCTTGAGACTAGTCTGGTGTAAGTACAATTCAGACCCGAGATGTGGGCATGGCTAGGACTTTATAATATCATGGCTGCAATGGATGGATGTCACCACCAACTACAACCGACTATGGCCGTACACTCAAACCACAGCCATGATACATGATGATCCAGGAACCGAAGACTTCCGGCGTTTGACCCGAGGCCGGTGGCATGGCCGCTGGACTTGGTCTTGGGCTTAGGCTTGGGCTTGAACTTGGATGGAGGTGGATGCCCGGCCCTGAATGTCCCTTGGTGTGGGGGATATCGAGGCTTGTCTTGGGGTGTCTATGGGTGACATGGAGGGTGTGTGCAGAGGAGGAGTATGAACTGTAGCCGGGGGTAGATTCCCGCTGGGCCCCTCCCGCGGCACAGTGGATCTGCCCCCGCCATGGCCCGTGGATGTGTATGGCTTTGGCTGGGCTGGTCTGGGTCTGGATACAGGGCCCGGCAGAGCAATGACATGGGCATCAACAGAGAAGAGCTTACCAAAACAACAAGCAGAGAGAAATCGATATCCGAGGATTCGAGTCTTTCCGTTTGATTCCGCGTCTAATTGCCGCGAACAATTAGACGACGTTACAGACTGGAAATGGAGATGGAGAAGAGCCCAGAGCGGGGACTGCTTACAACGGAGATTGAATGGCGAGACAAAAAGCTGACTGTGACGGCGACCTAAATTTGTTGACGGTCGAGCAAAGAGGAAGAATTCGGAACTGTTGATACTTGGAAACAAGACGGATATTGTTGTTATGCAGGTCTCTCAACAATGGTTCAATACAGTAGCAAGCGAGGACAGAAAGAGGCTTTGCGATCTGCGTCACGTTCAGATGATGAAGGAGGAGCAAGATGTGGGAGGGGAGGCAGAATTAAAGAACAAGAGAGGATGGGCTATTGATACCTCTTTCAGATGAATGGGAGGAAAGTAAAGAGGGGGAATAGCATTGCGTGTCTCCGAAGAGGGCCGACAACCGAGAGAAAGGCGAGAGAGAGGAAGCTCTACTGCTACATCAAAGGCAGCACGAGACCTGCCGTGATGTTGATCGAGCTCAGCATCTACTGGCGCATCGATATGAACCACTGGCGACCCTCCACCAGTGGCCAGAGATGGAAGAGAAGGGTAGACGCCGAGCCACTCACCGAGGAACGTCACCATACCAAGGTTCAGTCCGGCGTCAGGCTTGGCCCAAAGTTGTAAGCTGTTGCACAGTGAGTGGTTGCTTTGTTGTTGACGCGTTCAGCTACGGGCTATCGGCTGCAACAGTACAACTAACACAGTAACTGTTGATATTGCTGTTGCTGCTGCTGTTGCTGCTTCTGTTGAAATGCGGGGTTGATGCTTCAGGACCTGTTTTGATAGAAGCGGATTAATGACATGCTGATCAAGATCCCGAGAGTAGGTTTAGTCGCCTAGCTAGTACTTACTGCCTATGTACAGTACGTAGGTGACATAGACAAAGGTTAACCAATTCGAGTTGTAATCAACGTGACGCTGTTGGTGCCTCGGGATTGGCAACCCCTCATTCTTCTGCAACTGCAACCACCAAAGAGCTCTTAGAGCATCGCACAGCACAGTATTGAGGACGGTTCCTCATATTGACTGGCTGGACCTCAATTACAGCAATTCTCTCAAAGCTATGATAAAAATGGACGTATTATGTGTTTATTTGACTTGGTCTGCAATCCATATCCGTTTCAACAGAGCTAGAGCTCCAGCTGCAGTGTACGAAGCTTAAGCTTTGGACTTGCTTGCGCTTGAAAATGAGGGGCTGGCCACGTCCAAAAGCAATTCATGTGCAAGTGAGTGGCTGCAGCTACGGCAGGCGTGAAAGAGTCACAAGCTCAATCTCCTCTTCATCGTCGGAGCCAAGGCCTGAGCTCTCGTGTTTCTCTACGCCAAAATTGAGAGGTTGTTGTTGGGCGGACGTGGAATGAATAGCTCAACTTATGACGCAACCGACGGTAATAAACGGGAGCGATCTGATAGGCTAGGTTTTAGCTACCTACCTATCCATCAATCAATGCTTCCATGTCAACCAACATTCGGCGTTTGAAAGTGACATGATAGAAGGAGACATCATCTCAATGAGTATTTATGGTGATGGAGTCTATACGATCTGTAAATAGCAGATACCTGAACTGCAGGTATCCAATCTGTCTGCAAATAACCTGCCGCCGCTTGCGCCGCCGCAATCCAGGACCGGCTTTCCATTATACGACGCTCACGGAGCATTCTTGTACCAGAACTGAACTCCGGTTCCGGGCCGGGATTAATATCAGATGCAAAATAGTCGTCCGCTGAGGGCGAGGCGTTAAATGTGCTTCTTCTTCTGATGCTGCATCTTGCATGTGCTAGCTACGGCATCTGATTTGCTTTTGTTGCCTGCTAAAAGTGAGATACATCCCGCTCGGCAGGTATTAAGATGCTGTATTAGCGCGAGGAATGTCCATGGGCCTCCTGTTGGTCAGTCAAGCCTCGCCAACAAAAGATATCGATGCTCAACAGCAACTGGACCTGATCCATCAGCGCGGCTCGTAGTGGATACAGGCGTCAACACTGCCGATTGAGACTCCACAGGGCTACGGCTACAGAGAGTCTACCTTACCTACCTTATTCAATGGACTCTATCGCTGAAACCCACTACCTGATCTCTCTTTGATTAATGCTACCCCTGCAAGGTTCTATACCTACTTCGAGATATCAACACAATGGCCAGACTATCGTTAAATCGCGCGTGCAAAATAAAAAACCCTGTTCTATGTATCATACCTAGAAACATCAATTCTCAAACCTTACAGCTGCATACGGAGCTGTTAAATACCCGGCTAGTCTAGACCCTATTCCCGTCCCACCCCCGGCCGTCGTCAGGAACCAAGCAAGGGATGTCTCGAGCTAGGACATTGAAGTCCTGACATGATGCAAGGATACCAAAGTTACGACATTCTTTGCGCTTAGCTTGGCTACTGTCTAATTAAAGCCGCAACTCTGGTCTGTTCATGTTTGATATCCTCGGTTATGGCGTGAAAAACTTCAGACCGCGGGCTGTGTAAACACGTCACTTTTCCAGGAATCCGAGGAAGATATCCGCCATGGATGGGGTGAAGATTGGCTCAATACTACGTAGATCAAAGGGTGTTCACTCATCTGAGCCATGACTACGGATAGACTATGAGTTCATGTCGTGGCAGACTGATGTCGCATTTCACATGTGAACTGCCTTGACTCTCTCAACAACAGATAACCAAACCCGTTCATAACGGCCCGTTTCTAACAAGCTACGCAATGCAACGTGAAGGCGCTCAACAACAGACACACATCAGAATTACGGCTAGGGCGGTTAGGATGGGTCTTGGAACAAGAGCCTCAACTTGAGATAGTGTCCATTTACAAGGCTACCTGCTCATCTAAGTTACCTACTTAGTTAGTGGAGTCTCTTGAAATTCTAGACGTGGTCGGTCAAGGGCAACACTCGCTCATTGGATTCTTACAAGTCCGGCGTAGGTCCCGAGGAAGTATGTTCCGAGGAGGCACCAATTTTCGGAGTCGTCACTACCAACCGATAAGCAGACCGCTAACATATGGATCTTTTACTTCTACGGATACGGGTCCATGTCTTATCATAGCGGAGATTCAATTGCAAAATAAACATGTGAATTAGGTTGGGGTTTCAACAAGACTTGATAGTCTGGGTCATGTCTCCAAATTTGGAGTTGATGAGACATGGGAAATTTTCATCATGGAACCCCAACCCCCAAAGATTCAGCCCTAGCAACTTGAACCCCAAAATCTCGAGATTCTTGCATATGACGAAGAGCAGGGTGCGCGGGGCCCCTTTTGCTTCATGGCATCTCCGGTTCGCAGTCCCATCTGCCTATAATCTACTCCGTAGGTAGCTTGGGGGAAATGGCACAGATAGTTAGGCTGTGATGATACTATGGGAGCTTGGAGCATTTGGGGGTTCTGGTCTGCCCATCCTATATGCAGTATGCCATCTTGAGCCACAGCACCCTCACCATAAACCTCTCAAGAGGCACGTCATTAGACATGTACAAAGTACTAAGACAAAGATGCTGCTGAGCCATCAACCCCCATCTTTGTCTTGTCTTGAAGACCTCATCATATCAATCACCCCATGGCACGGCAAGAAACGGGTACCGACGCCTCGATAGAGTTGACTTCCATCTCCAACAGGGGTACTCCAACACTCCATCTCGAAGATAATCCCCCAGAGGTCTCCGCCAAAATCACCCGACTTTTACTATTTGTTGCCAGATATTATTCCTCGCCAAGAATCACACTTCGACGGAAGGGGATACTGTAAATGTTTGAGACTGTTTGGGCGGAAATGCAAAACTCGCAAGGTCGTATCCTCAGATAACATCATGATTAGCGGTTGGCTACCTCACCCGGCTTTAGATGTGCGAGAAACACAGCCTGCTCTCAGTGGCCTGCAGAATCACCGCGTTAGTCTCTGCCTGTCCACATCCCGACTATTTTCTTACGCCTAATCCATGTCTTAAAACCCCACGGCTGAGCTTGCAGAGCTTGCCAAGCTATGCTGAATTGTTCCTCAATCACCGGACTTCAAGTTGCGGAAGTGCATTTCTCTCCCCTGTCAACGATCCAGTCTAGATCCACAAGGCATCTCTCCAACGGCAGCTCATTGATTTGATTGACGATGATGCTCGATGAGCTTGCAAACCTGTCTACGATAATTGGCCGGCAACTAACCGAGCCGAACGGACTGAACATAGAGCCCTTCGGATTGCGAGATGTAACAACGTGCACGCTCCGAATTGCCTCGTCATTACGCAAGATCCTCCTGAGAACAGGGTTTCGAGCGGCATGGCATTACTTAATTCACGCCCAGTCT